TCTCCTCGGCTGCATCGTCCTTCCTGCCTGGACAGAGAGAGAGAGAGAGAGAAAGAGAAAAAGAGGAGGAGCTGCAGCCGGATCTTTGGGAAGCGGAACTGGAGGCGCCCCCGCCCGCTTTGGAGAGCCAGACCTTGAGGGGCGCATCTACACGGGAGAATAGATGCACTTCCACACCGCTTGGGCTTCCAAGGCCTCAATGCGATGGAATCCAGGGAGCTGCAACGTCACCAGTCTGGAGCCTCCAGTGCTAAAGAGCCAGCTGCCAGGATTCCATAGCACTGAGCCTGGGCAGCCCAGCCTATCCTGCAAGTTGAGAGAGTGTCACTTGCCCAAGGTCATCTAGGGCAGTATTTCTCAACTTCTGCACTTTCTGGTGTTTTGGACTTCATCTCCCAGGAATCCTACCAGCTGGGTTGCTGTGAGTTTTCCAGGCTGTATGGCAATCTTCCAGAAGCATTCTCTCCTGACGTTTCGCCCACATCTATGGCAGGCATCCCCAAAGGTTGTGAAGTCTTTTGGAAACTAGGCAAGTGGGGTTGATATATCTGTGAGACGTCCAGGGTGGGAGAAAGAACTCATGCTGGCCACATGACCTTGGAGGTGTCTATGGACAACCATTATTGCCCCAACCTTATTTTCCATCTTCATTGCTATGATACTTCATCTTGTTGATGGGAAGCTTCCCACCGGAAATTATCTGTTGGACAGATGGCAAGCGATTTAACCTCAGCAGACTGAAAGCCAAAACCAAGGTCACAACATCTGTTATAGAACTCCAATATGCTGATGACAATGTCATCTGTGCAGTAGGTGGTCTGTGGTTTGCTCTGCTCCACACTTGCATGTCGTGGATTCCACTTTGTAGTCCCATTTTTTTTGTTTTTTAAAATTATTTTATTAAATTTTCACATAGATATATATAAAACCACCACCACGTCACCAACACAGATAAACCCCATTTCTTAAGGTTGGCTCTGCATCTCATGGTGGAGCCCCTGGTGGCGCAGTCGGTTAAACTGTTGAACTGCTGAACTTGCTGACCAAAAAGTTGGTGTTTTAAATCCGGAGAGCAGGGCGAGCTCCCACTGTTAGCCCCAGCTTCTGCCAATCTAGCAGTTCGATAACATGCAAGTGTGAGTAGATCAATAGATCAATAGGTACCACTTCTGCTGGAAGGTAACAGCGCTCCATGCAGTCACGCCGGCCACATGACCTTGGAGGTGTCTACGGACAACGCCGGCTCTTCGGCATAGAAATGGAGATGAGCACCACACCCCAGAGTCAGACATGACTGGACTTAATGTCAGGGGAAAACTATGGTTTACTATGGTTCAGATAGGCGGATGACACTTTCACTATTTAGAGCGATGGAGAAGAAGAACTAAACAGATTCCTGTACGATCTTAACAGCATCCACCCAAACATCCAATTCACCATGGAAAAAGAAAATGAACGAAAACTGCCTTTTCTAGATGTCCTAATCACCTGCAAACCAGATCAACAATTGGGTCACACCGTTTACAGAAAACCTACACATATGGATTGATACCTACATTAAATGCTAACCAAAGTGGCCAATTGCAACATTCATACCTGCCTCAAACAGACAAGAGTTCTTTCTCCCACCCTGGACATTCCACAGATATATAAACTCCACTTGCCTGGTTGTCAACTGACCTCACAACCTCTGTGGATGCCTGTTGTAGATGTGGGCAAAATGTCAGGAGAGAATGCTTCTGGAACATGGCCATACAGCCTGGAAAACACACAGCAGCCCAGTAATTCTAGCCATAAAAGCCTTTGACAACGCATCTTACCAGCAGTTAGGAATGGTGGGAGCTGAAGTCCAAAACTCCTGGAGGAACCAAGTTTGTGAACCATTGATCAAAGGAGTTTCCTTCAATGGGTGGCAGTTTGAACTGAAAATCAGCATGGATTCGTGTTTTGAGAGTTGGACCAGGACTCTGGAGATCAGGCAGTGAATCCCCTCTTAGCCATGGAAACTTACTAATTGACCTTGGGGAAGCCATACACTCTCCATCCTAGAACAATAACAACAGCCATACAACCTAGAATATCAAGGCAGAAAATACCACAATATCTTATTAGAACTGGGTTATCTGAGTCCACACTGCCATATATTCCAGTTCAAATCAGAGAATGTGTCCAGCTGTGTGGAAGGGGTCTGAGTCTGCTGGAGCAGAAAGAATAAGAAAGTCTTGTAGCAAAGTCTTTATACAAAGTCTTGTACAAAAAGTCACCCACCTGCATCCCTCTCCATGGTATGGCTCTTAAGACAATGACCACTCCAATGCTCTTTAGCTTATCTCTGGTGGGAGGTTTGCACCTCCCTCCAACTACATTTGTCAATGCTCCCTGATAAGATAAGCAATGTTTGCAGTTCTTATGTGTCTTTCTCTCCTTCAGCCTACCGATTATATTTCCCTGGTCAAAGGAGATCAGGAAGGTTAGTTGGACAGCACATGCGGCAGAGTACAAACAGTCCCTGAGTTACAAACAACCGACTTACCCATGACTCACTGTTGAGACAATAGAAAGTGAGAGAAATCTCCCCCTGGAAGGGAAATTCACTCTGGGAAGAGTTGTCACGGGGAAAAAGCATCTCAACTGAAGCTCTAAATCCTCTTGCCAAAATATCTGTTATGTTAGGTGCTCACTCCAGGAGTGGTGTATCTGCATCAGTTTGGGGATCCCTTTCATTTCAAGCAATCTGGAAGAAGATGAGAAAAAAGGCAGTAAGGAGAACAACGGCACCCTTTATCTAGCTATGGAAATGGCCCTTCTCTTATCTCTCTGGAAGGGGAGGAGCCTTCTGGATTTGACCTGGCTTTCAAGGACAGTTTACTTTGAAAAGTCAACCAGCTCCCTATGGGATATTATTGGATATCCATTGTAATCTATTACACTATGTAACAAAATCTGGGGGAAAAAATCTATTCCTGGTTTGAAAGTGTTCTTTCCTGTTCAATTGTGCAGTCCTTACTTTTAAAATAGTTGTTATACCCCATAAACCTTATTTTTGTAGCTGCCTCAAACTATGTCAAATTGGTTGAGACTCTGTGAGATGTTCATTGAAAAACTAGAGCAAAACATGCTGCGGGATTTCCTGCAAAAAACAAACTGGCAGTTTATTAGACTTTTCCATGGTGCCCCCCCCTCCCCCCGGTCTGTGGAACTCACTTGCTAATGAAATCGGGTCGGCCCCCTCTCTTCTATTCTTTAGGAAGAAACTTAAATCTCAGTTATGGGACCAGGCATTCGAGCAGCAGACGCCACAATAATAACTGGAAATGACTTACATGATTGACAATGGACAGACCTTGGATTATGACTCTAGATTTGTCTTTGTATTATTTTAAACAGATGTTTTAATTCTGCTGTTTTAACTAATGTTTAGGTGTGATTTTATTATTACTGTTGTTGGCATCTAATGGGTGCCGGTTATGAGCTGCCCTGAGTCCCCCCCTGAAGGGATATAAATGTATGAAATAATAATAATAATTTTATGATGGAACCAAATAGGGAATGACATTTATAACCCAGGAACAAAAATTGTGTTATACGGTGCTATTGGATATCTATTATCATCTATTATTGTTGTTGATTTCATCTTCTTTTCTTCCTCCTCCTCCTCTTCTTTCTCCTCTTCTTCTCTTCCTCCCCTCCTCTTCTTCTTTTCTTCCTCCTCCTCTTCTTCTTCTCTTCCCCTCCTCCTCCTCCTCTTCTTCCTCCTCCTCCTCTTCTTCCCTTCCCTCCTCCTCTTCTTCTTTTCTTCCTCCTCCTCCTCCTCTTTTCTTCTTCTTCCTCCTCCTCTTTTCTTCTTCTTCCTCCTCTTCTTCTTCTCTTCCCTCCTCTTTGTCTTTTCTTCCTCCTCCCCCTCCTCCTCTCTTCTTCTTCTCAGGGCCGTAGCCAGAAAAAAATTTCAGGGGGGTTGAAATTGGGGGGGGGGGGGGTTAAAACCTGCCTCCTAGCTCACGCTGAAGCAAAGAGCACAGCAGGGGGCAGAGCAGCCTTCCATAGCCTGCAGCTCCACCCCTGTCAACCACCTCCACCAAGTTTGGCCTCCTTAATGAGAGCATTCAACACACACACACCCAACTTGGTTGCTTCACTACATCGCTATTGCTGCAAGTAATGACAGTGTGAATAAATTGTCAATATTTGCTTGAGATAGTGCTTACAGTTCTGGAGGGACTCTTAATTTTTTGCATCTCATAGACTTAGCATGGGATTTGGTTAACCAGTTAAAATTCATGAGTAAACCAGGTTTTTTTTAAAAAAATCTTAAACATTTCGGGGGGGGGGGTTGAACCCCTAAAACCACCCCCTCGCTACAGGCCTGCTTCCTCCTCCTCCTCTTCCCCTCCTCCTCCTCTTCTTCTTTTGTTCCTCTTCTTCTTCTTTTCTTCCCCCTCCTCCTCTTCTTTTCCTCCTCCTCTTCTTCTATGCTGCTTTCTCTCTCTATGGGCCCTTCTAGGCCCCTTCCACACAGCTGAATAAAACCCCACATTATCTGCTTACAACTGGGATATATGGCAGTGTGGACTCAGATAACCCAGTTCAAAGCAGATCTTGTGGGATTTCCTGCCTTGATATTCCAGGTTATAGGGCTGTGTGGAAGGGCTCCCAGACAGGCCCTATATTCCAGAATCCGATCCCCGTTTTTCTGTTTATCCCAGATTATCGGGGAGTGGGGACTCATAGAATCCAGCTTAAAGCAGAAAACCTGGGATCAGATCCTGGGATACAGGGCCTGTCTGGAAGGACCCTCAAATTGGCTAAGAGGGCGGTTCCAGAGCAGTATTTCCCAAATTCTGGTCTTCTGGGAGTTTTGGACTTCATCTCCCAGAGTCCCTCACCATTCGTCAAGGCAGCTGAAGCTGCGAGGAGTTGATACGACCTCTCGGAGAGAGAGCTTTCCTTTCACTGCGGAACCAAAGTGTCGGGAAGCTGGTTTCTGGCCGGACGGATTGCGCGTGACGGACGCTTACTGCGGAAGTGCCTCATGGAAAGTGGGGGGCGTTTCGTCGGGCGGACAAGCCGGGCTTCTCTGGGTGCCTCGTTGTCTTGAGGCACAGGATGTGGCGGAGGGGCTCCATTGCTGGGCTTCTGGGCCTGGGCCCCCGCGGAAGAGGTGCCCTCTGGCTGGACAGGTACCTGCATCCCCAGAGAGAGAGAGGGAGAGAGAGAGGCCCCTTCCACACAGTTGAATAAAATCCCACATTATCTGCTTTGAACTAGAATATATGGCAGTGAGGATTCAGATAATCAAGGACTCACTGTCCCAAGTTCTAGACATCCAAAGATAGAAGAGTTTAACCCCAATTGTCTAATGCATTGCTTCGTAAACTGTGTCCTGATCCCAAATGGGGGTCCCTTAGCATCATCATCATCATTATGTTTATTTATACCCCACTTTTTCTCTCCACAAAGGAAACTCTGAAATGGCTTACATTACAAGCATTTCAATAACATTTAAATTCCAATATATAAGCATTGAACTAGAATTAAACATCAATGGTGTTACAAATGAGACTGCAACAATAGTTATAGTTTACAGTGGGACCTTGATATCTGTAGGTTCCAAAGTCTGTTTATGTTCAAGTCCCATGAAATATAATGGCGTAATGAAATGGTATCCATTATTGTTGTTTATTTGTTCAGTCGCTTCCGACTCTTCGTGACCTCACGGACCAGCCCACGCCACCCTCAGCTCCTTCAAGGTCAAGCCAGTCACTTCAAGGATATCATCCTTGGTTGGCCCCTCTTTCTTTTTCCTCCCATTTCCCCCAGCATTATTGCCTTCTCCAAGCCTTCCTGTCTTCTCACACTACGGCCAAAGTATTTCATCTTTGCCTCTAATATCCTTCCCTCCAGTGAGCAGTCGGGCATTATTTCCTGGAGTATAGACTGGTTTGATCTTCTTGTGGTCCGAGGCACTCTCAGAATTTTCCTCCACCACAGTTCAAAAGTGTCTGCTTTCCTTCATTCAGCCTTCCTTATAGTATCCAATTCCATTTTGCTTGTGTGTGTGTGTGTGTATAATGCTGTATATGAGTATTTTAAGACATAGATGGCCGAATCCATAGGTGCAGAATCCATGGATATGAAATACCACCTATATACCCATTGTACATAACAGGGGTCCTCAAACCAAGGCCCGGGGGGCCAGATATGGCCCTCCAAAGTCATTTACCTGGCCTTCGCTGTGGGTTAACCTAAGTTTGAAATGACTTGAAAGCACACAACAACAACAACAACAATAACAATAATCCTATCTCATCATCTACACTTCCCACTAAAATACTAATAAGTTTATATTTGTTAAAATTGTTCTTCATTTTAATTATTGTAGTTTTTTTTTTGCACTACAAATAAGATATGTGCAGTGTGCATAGGGATTCATTCATGTTTTTTTTTTCAAATTATAATTCGGCCCTCCAACAGTTTGAAGAATTGTGACCTGGCCCTCTGTTTAAAAAGTTTGAGGACCCCTGGTATATAACATCATTCGGTCCCTTTCCTTCCAGGTTGCTTCAAAAAGGTCATTGAGAGCTTGAGCAAACTGATTCCCATTTTTGTCACCTTGTTTTCAGAAATCTTCTATCAATCCTGGAATCTCAGGAAATGTATTTTTTGTTTTCTTGTTACTATTAAAAAAACTCATTACTTACATACTTTTGCATAAGTAGTGACATTCCCAAATAGAAACTACAAACTTGTTTTTACACATTCAGCGCGATACTCACTCCTTCCATCCCACACTTTTCTATTAAAAGGGACAATTCAGTTGTGCATGAACTGTAATATGTATTTGAAGATAGAATTGATTTTCTCTGTGCCACCTTCAAAGACAATTGAAGAGGGAGATGCGATACTTGGCTGAAAATCCTTTGCATTGAAACCTTCATTCCAGAAACTCTCAGATACAGATATTTATGTAATACTGATCAAATGACCAGCCTTCTTTGACTGGTCATTGGCTAGTTAAAACGTGTAGTTAAAACTATTAGAAATCTATTGTCTGGTGAAGTTCAATAAAGATATAGCTCTCTGATAGAAGGCATATACAATACATTTTGAGGCAAGAATATCCTGGAATAAATTACCAGAGATAATTCATAGCAAATTCTACAGAGTGTTGTACACAGTACTGTCTTCATGTTTGCTGTTTGAAAGCAGTCGGGAAACTGGGCTGGACAATAAAACTTAAGTGTGACTAGTATAAACTATGTGTCAGTAACCTCCATATTATTGGTTTTGTTTTTCTTTTAGTAAGGCACATAAATTATTGGGCACCAGCTCTGTCTTTTGTACCAAGGAAGATGAACCATCCAACAGTGTGGATGCAAAGACTTTACCAGACCAGGAGAAGAAGGCAACAGCGACTGCAAAGAAGAATTTGTTAAACATCATTAGTGGAATGCAAGTAGAAATAAGTTCAAAGAAAAAGTTCCAGATGCTGAAAGCTGAGAAGACTGAGACCCAAGTGAAGGATTTGCCAAGGAATATGGAAAGTGCAAGTAGCATGTTCCAGAAAGCAACAGAAGAGAAAGCAAAGAGGTAACTTTTTTGTGTGTGCTTTCATGCACCGCTGCTACATGAGTTGCAGTTACTGGATGCTGTATTTGCTTACTTTGAGTGAGGTATCGCAAAGAATGTCCTCAGCTCCCTGAACAAATGCCATCTTTGATAATGCAACAACAGTGGCATGCCTTGAAAACACTTGTAGCTTTATAGTGTCTTTATCTGTCTCTGACATAGAGTGCTGGTGTCTCATCAAATTACCAATCCCATTACTATTGGACTGTGAGAACAAAAATCTGGTCCACAAACCTCTTTGCTCTTTATTTGTTTTATTTTATTTCCGCTCCTTTTCTCAGAGCTGACCAGCCCCATCCCTTTTTGTACTAATGTTGGAGAGTGGTCCCTGGTCAAAGTGGGCCCTGGTCAAAAAAGGTTGGGAACCACTGGTGTAGATGTAGGCTTGATGCTGCAGTCAATCCTACCTGTGTTGTTTTGTTGAATTCATTCTCAACTTCAGCGTCTTCTTTCTGCCCCTCTGATTTACTTGGCCAGAGTTGCACATTTCCAGACAAGTACCAGTAGTGATAGGGCCCCCTGGTGGCACAGTGGGTTAAGCTGCTGAGCTGCTGAACTTGCTGACCAAAAGGTTGGTGGTTCGAATCCAGGGAGTAGGGTGAACTCCCACTGTTAGCCCCAGATTCTGCCAACCTAGCAGTTCGAAAACATGCAAATGTAAGTAGATAATAGGTACTGCTCTGGTGGGAAGGTAACGACATTCCATTCAGTCATGCTGGCCACATGATCTTGGAGGTGTCTCTGGACAATGCTGGCTCTTTGGCTTAGAAATGGAGATGAGCACCACTCACCAGAGTTGGACACGACTAGATTTTATGTCAAGGGGAAACCTTTACCTTTACCTTATATATGGATGTATTTTACCTTTACAATGTGAAGATGGTAATCATTCTGTTTAAAATAATCACTGCAATTTTTCTGTGATTCATTTCAAATGGCTGATAAAATGGAAAGAGATGAAGAGTTAAAAAAATGAATGACTGCATTTTGCACCTGTTTCTTCCTGTTTCTTCCAACAGCAAGGAACTCAATCCAGAGCTGGTAGCAGCAGCCTCTGCAGTTGCATCTTCGCTGCCTTTTGACAGAAAAAAGACAGTTTCGGAATTGGTTCAGTTGCTGAAGAAGCACAAGGACGTCACTGACACACGCAAAAATGGAGATGCCACTGACATAAGGTTTGTAATTGCAGTGCTGATGGTAGTATTGCACTGTGCAACGTCTTCCACATGTATAGCACAAATTATTACTCTATTTTTTAAAAAAATGTGTACTTGACTTCTGTAGCTTATGTTCTCAAAGTCACATGTTCACAGAATGCATTTGTTTATTGCATTCAGCCCATTAGAATAAAAAACAACCTATTTACCTGTCTTGGTCTCTGCAAAAGAGTTTGAAGAGGCAACTGAGTAGAAAGTAGCAGTTTTGAATGTTGGACAAGGAAACTAAAGTTCAGATCCATGAAAGCCCAAGATGAAACTGAACTCACCCTTAGAAGAAAGCAGTGGCAAACCTCTGAGACCCCTTCCACACAGCTGAATAAAATCCCACATCTGCTTTGAACTGGAATATATGACAGTGTGGACTCAGATAACCCAGTTCAAATAAGATATTGTGGGATTTTCTGCCTTAATATTTTGTGTGAAAGGGCCCTGAATCAAACTTCCAAAAAAAAAAAAAACCCTATGAGAACGTCACTATAGGTCTGAATCAATTTGAAGGCACATAATGAAAACAGCAAAACTTTTGTATGTTTGAGGACTGACTGGTTCTGATGTTAAAGAGGAATCTGAAGACTTCTGCATTTTAGGTTCTTTCTTGGGGCACTTCTAGGCCCCTTCTATACTGTAATGTAATCCAGATTATCAAAGTAGATAATCTAGATTATCTGATTTGAACTAGATTATATGAGTCTACACTGTTCATATATTCCAGTTTAGAGCAGATAATCTGGATTTTATATGGCAATGTAGTAGGAGCCTTGGACCTCTGCTTTGATGCACTTTGGCTTTATCCTTCAACATCTAAGGCAGTGTTTTCCAGCCTTCCTAATGCCGTGACCCCTTAACACAGTTCCTCATGTTGTGGTGACCCCCCACCCATAAAATTATTTTTGTTGCTACTTCATAACTGTAATCCTGCAACTGTTATGAATTGTAATGTAAATATCTGATATGCAGGATATACTTTCATTCACTGGACCAAATTTGGCACAAATACCCGATACACCCAAATTTGAATACTGGTGGGATTGAGGGGGGATTGGTTTTGTCGTTTGGGAGTTGTAGTTGCTGGGGTTTATAGTTAACTTCCAATCAAAGAGCATTCTGAACTCCACCAGCAATGGAATTGAACCAATCTTAGCATCCAGAACTCCCACGACCAACAGAAAATACTGGAAGGATTTGGTGGGCATTGACCTTGAGTTTTGGAGTTGTAGTTCACTTACATCCAGAGAGCACTGTCCATTCAAACAATGATAGATCTGGACCAAACTTGGCTCGAATACTCAATATGCTCAAATGTGAACACTAGTGGAGTTTGGGAAAAATAGACCTTGACATTTGAGAGTTGTAGTTACTGAGATTTATAGTTCACCTACAATCAAAGAGCATTATGATAGAATTGGGCAAAACTTCCCACACAGAACCCCCATGCCTTGAAGGAACTAGTTGGTGTGATCTTCCCTCCAACTTCACATGCTCTCCCTCACCCGCATAAGCGCACCAGGCTGCCATGTGCCGAGCACGCCTGCTCTCCTATCAGAAGTCTCAGAAACATCCCCCTCCTTGTTTGAGAGGCTGGCCAGTCACAGCGGAGGGGGGCTTTTGGTGGGAGGATTCACCAACTGTTTCCAAAAAGGTAGAGAAGGACCAGCGAAGAGATCTTCAGCCTTCACTGTCAAAGGAGTTCCTAAGACCATCAGAAATATATGTTTTCTGATGGCCTTTGGTGACTCCTCTGAAACCCCCTCATGACCCCCTTAGGGGTCCCAATCCCCAGATTGAGAAACACTGATCTAAGGGCCTTTCGACACAGCCATATAACCCAGAATACCAAGTCAGAAAATCCCACAATACCTGCTTTGAACTGGGTTATTTTTAGCAGCAATAATAACAATAAAATCAGAACCAATCAGTCCTCAAACATAGTAAAGTTTTGCCATTTTTATTATGTGCCTTCAAATTGACTCAGACCTATAGTGACATTCTCATAGGGATTTTTTTTGAAGTTTGATTCAGGGCCCTTTCACACAGAATATCAAGGCAGAAAATCCCACAGTATCTGCTTTGAACTGGGTTATCAGAGTCCACACTGCTGTATATTCCAGTTCAAAGCAGATAATGTGGGATTTTATTCAGCTGAGTGTAAGGGCCTAAGAGAGAAGGCAGACACTGCAACACAATCTGAAAGGGGAGAGAAGACTTTTTCAATCATCAGATCCAAAAATTGCAGAGTTCAGTTGAAGACAAGATCTGGCAATCCTCTCTTGTCTTTTCTCTTGAAGTAGATGATGAATGTAGCACTGTAATAAACCAAGTTTTTCGGCCCTGTTTTATGCTGAAAAACTCCCCCTTGGCTAATATTCGAGTCAAGTTTATTATTTTACTCTATTATTATTATTATTATTATTATTATTATTATTATTATTATTACATTTATTATTTTACTCTCTTTATTATTATTGGAAGGTATGGAGGCAATGCAGTTGGTGTGGCAGGAGGGACCTTTCTTTTTCTGTCCCACCACTGCCACCAATAATAATTATGTATTACATCACACCCAAACGAACTGGGCAATGTATGACGATGAGGAGGGTAATTAAGTGGTATAGGTAGCGTAGTTGTGGCTGAGCACACAGTTGTGGCTGTGTGAGTGAGGTTGTAATGCTGGTGTGAGGTTTGACTTTTAAAATGTTTGTCTGAGGCACTTTTAAAATATGTAAACCAATACCATAAACTGAATCCTTTTTTCTAGATATTCAGCCGTCTCCCTCTGAGGTAAATCTTCTCTTCAATAACTGGACACAAGTCTTTACTATAATAAACTGAACAAGGACATATTTATTCAAGGATTCTCAGGCATATAAATCTTAATGGTTACTCAGTATTTCTTAGATGTTGTTACAACTGGCTTCTCTTATCAGTTTCCAATATAACTTGCAGAATGGCTTATCCTTTTACCAGACTGGCTTGAACTTATTTCATTTCAAAATATTATTTCTTTTCAGTCTCCTGACTGACATTTAAGGCACTGACTAGCCTTTCACTCCCTTCAGCTATCCCACTGAAGTTACAGAGTACCACTAGGGTTCCTTTTCCCTTAGCTTAATAGCTATTTACTAATTCAAACAAGTTCAGTTGACATTCTAAATAACTAGGTTGAAGACTTAAATCCCTTGGTCCAGTTCTAAACTAGCCAGAACCAACTTTCTCTTTGCTCACTGGCCAAAGACTGATTTTTAAAATATCTGCTCCACTCCAGTTAACACTTAGCTCCACCCCTTTTGGCTCCTACTCTGGATAGATACATTTCTATTGCAAACTACATTGCTATGGCAACGCAGCCAACAAGCAGCTACAGTTTAAACTGGCCTGCTTGTCATATTTATTTATTTATTTATTATTTATTTGCCTTACTTATATATACTGCTGTTCTCAGCCCGAAGGCGACTCACAGCAGTTCACAACAAATACGAACAGCAAAAATTCAGTGCTACAGTATAGAAACAGTTAACAACCTAACACATTACACAATTAATAAACAGTTACTACAATACCCATTCACTGTCGTCTCATCATCAAAAACATGTTCCAGATTCGTCATCCATTGTTCCATTCCAGTGTTCATTAACCAATCATTGCACAAATTATACAATACACTAGAACATCCAGGTCTTCACCTTTTTTCGGAATACCATTAGAGATGGTGCTAGTCTAATGTCCGTAGGAAGGGCGTTCCACAGCCGAGGAGCCACCACCGAGAAGGCCCTATCTCTCGTCCCCGCCAGCCGAGCTTGAGAAGCAGGCGGGATCGAGAGCAGGGTCTCTCCGGAAGATCTCAAAGTCCTGGTGGGTTCATAGGCAGAGATGCGGTCAGATAGGTAGCTTGGGCCGGAACCGTTTAGGGCTTTAAAGGCCAACGCCAGCACTTTGAATTCAGCCCGGTGGCAGATCAGTAGCCAGTGGAGTTGGCGCAACAGGGGGGTTGTATGCTCCCTGCGCTCCGCTCCTGTTAAAATCATGGCTGCCGAGCGTTGGACTAGTTGGAGCTTCCGAGCTGTCTTCAAAGGCAACCCCACGTAGAGAGCGTTGCAGTAGTCTAAACGGGATGTAACCAGAGCGTGGACTACCATGGCCAAGTCAGACTTCCCAAGGTACGGGCGCAGCTGGCGCACAAGCTTTAACTGTGCAAATGCTCCCCTGGTCACCGCCGAAACCTGGGGTTCCAGGCTCAGCGATGATCCAGGATCACACCCAAGCTGCGAACCTGCGTCTTCAGGGGGAGTGCGGCCCCATCCAACACAGGCTGTAACCCTATACCCTGTTCGGCCTTGCGACTGACCAGGAGTACCTCTGTTTTGTCTGGATTCAATTTCAATTATTCCTTTAATAAACATTTACAAAAACTCATATTACAATTAAACAGTTCATTACAGAAGGATATGTAAGCACATTTACATGGATGAAGGTTAGAATAATGGTTTAATCAGAGTTGGATAGTCTTATCTTAAATTACAGTTTTATGTACATTTTCAAAAACATTTCACTTTCTGATGCCTCAATTAATGTAGTTTTATTGGTATTTATTTTTATTTTGAAATTTCCCAGTTGCTGCTGCATTTCCTACCCTTGGCTTATATTTGAGTCAAAAACTTATCCCAGTTTTTTGTGGTAAAATTAAATGCCTTGGCATTTATTCGGGTCGGCTGATACTTGAGTATATGCGGTATATTTATTTGTACCCCGTTTTATCTCCTCAAAGGGACTCAAAGCATTAAAATACAATTTAAAATATACAAAATGCAAACATTAAAATAGAATTAAACACAAAATTACAGTTAAAATCCATCAAAACAGTTAAAAGCCACAGACTTGGTGCCTTTTAGGATATTTAGACCTATACCCCAGTTATTACTTTTTGTTAGTACTAAAAACAACAATGCGTCTCAAGGCAT